GCGAACTCCAGGAATGTCACCAACAGCGTGACCCTTCCGACCGAAACCAGCAACCAGAACTTCATCGTTTTCCTGCAATGAAAGACCAAGTAGTTACAAAGCTATAAACATTAAGCCTGTACATACTTCTGAACAGGTTAACATTAGAAAGTCTAGGGTGTGGCTCAAATTTAAAGAAAGGGTAGAAATCCTGAAGGCTATTGACAGATGCACATTAATAAAGGGCTGTTACCCCCTTCAGTGTTTTGGAGAAAGGAAACATAAGGAAGGATGCCATTTAGCTTGCAGCAGCACAGCTGACAACTGGCTTCGCTAAGGGAGGGTAAAATACAAAACCATCTCACATTTTTCATCTGCCTCTGCCACTACAGCTTTAAGAAACATGTGGTGCAGAATGCCATGAACCCTTGTCTAACCATCCCCTAAATCCGTCAATTATGCGTTTCTTTACTTTGATATACAACTTTTTATAGGTAACTCCTTGAAAATTACCTCAATGAAGTTCAGGCAGCCATCGTTGGGAACAAAAGCTGTTATTTTTTTGCCGTTCTTAATCAGCTGGACTCTAACACATTTCCTGATAGCAGAGTTTGGCTGTTTAGCTTCTACTCCACTAAAACGGAAGCACATGGAAAGAAGCAAAAATCAGTTTGATGAACTGGCAGACACTCATTACATCACCACCAATTACTGCATTACTTTGTATTAAATGCAAGTTGTATCTGTACTTCAAAAACGGTTAGTTCTCTATTTAGAGCTACTCAATATATAAAAGCCAGTTCCTAAGCTGAGTAAAAATTGAAGATTTTTACATACATGTACTAATTCAGCAAATAAAAATCTGGAGGGAGGGAAGGGGAAAAAAAAAAAAAAAGAGAGAAACCCCTTGGAGCCCTGGCAGTGTCCCAATGAAACTCATAAATTACAAAAAGAAAAAAAAGGCCAGAAGACAAGTAGATGGGATCTTTGACGCAAGGCGCGCACACACAAAATCCACCCCCCCAAATCCTAAACTGCGTTAAGCGGTATTTTTATTCTTTTGCTTCTCAATAAGCAGAATTTTTGAAGTGGCACGTGTATGAGAAAGAACACCTTTCAGCACAGCCACCTGGAAAAATAAACCACGTTTTCAGTCCAGCGTACAGAAACTAACAGAGATGTGGCGTGTTACAGGTAGCAAAACCCCTCACATATTTAGAAAGTAAAACAGCTTAGCGGCGCTTCCTTCCCCAGGCCCCTCTCAAAGGCCTCCTTTTCCGCGGGACTCTCCAGGGCAGCCAGGCGCCCCACGCCGCGCCCCGGCCGCCCGCGGGGTCAGGCACACCGGGGGCGCTCGCCCCGCGACCCGCCCAC